ACCCTTGAAGATCGCTAAGCGGAAGCGTTTATCAACGCGGTTGATGTAGTCGTACATCTTCACGATCCGACCGATCCAAGTATCGAACGCACGGCACCTTCGAGTTCTGCACACGTTCAGCTCGATGACGTCCTCGCCTTCTCGATCCAGCAAGACGGGCGAAGTAGTAGATGTGTTCTGGCATCACGACGGCGTGGTGATGGTGTTGGTGAAGAACAATCTCCGCAGGGCTTCGCCTAAGCACTACGAAAACTATGACGGAGGATAAACTAGAGGGGACGGAGTTGCCAGCACACGGCTTGGTGTTTCTTGATGTGTTTTTGGTGCTAGCACTGCCCCTCTATTTATATTTTGAGCCTTGGGGTCGAAACTTAGAGTAAAAGCCTCCACAAAGTCGGTTTCACCCGAAAGGCAAGAGTCCTTCCCAGCGTCTGGAACCAGACGCCAGGGTTCCCGGCGTCTGGAACCAGACGCCAGGGACCCTGGCGTCTGGCCCCTGGACCCCGCAAAACTTCCTTTTGCGCTTTCCAAAAACCTTGTGGGCTTTCCCCTTTGGCCCAAATAACGTGTTCTCGTACCCAAACATTTCAGGAAACATCTGGAACCCCTTCCGGTGAATTCCGGAACCCTTCCGGAGACCAAACAACATTATCCCATATATTAAACTTCATCTTCGGACCATTCCGGAGTTCCTTGTCATGTTCGTGATCTCATTCGGGACTCCGAACAACATTCGGTTACCAACATACATAACTCATATAATACTATATTGTCAATGAACATTTAAGCATGCGGACCCTACGGGTTTGAGAACTATGTATACATGACCGAGACATCTCTCTGGTCAATAACCAATAGCGGAACCTGGATGCCCATATTGGCTCCTACATATTCTATGAAGATCGTTATCGGTCAAACCGCATAACTACATACGGTGTTCCCTTTGTCATCGGTATGTTACTTGCCCGAGATTCGATCGTCGGTATCCCAATACCTAGTTCAATCTCGTTACCGGCAAGTCTCTTTACTCATTACGTAATGCATCATTCCGTAACTAACTCATTAGCTACATTGCTTGCAAGGCTTATAGTGATGTGCTTTATCGAGAGGGCCCAGAGATACCTCTCCGACAATCAGAGTGACAAAACCTAATCTCGAAATACGCCAACTCAACATGTACCTTTGGAGACACCTGTAGAGCTCCTTTATAATCACCCAGTTACGTTGTGACGTTTGGTAGCACACAAAGTGTTCCTCCAGTAAATGGGAGTTGCATAATCTCATAGTCATAGGAACATGTATAAGTCATGAAGAAAGCAATAGCAACATACTAAACGATCAAGTGCTAAGCTAACGGAATGGGTCTAGTCAATCACATCATTCTCCTAATGATATGATACCGTTAATCAAATGACAACTCATGTCTATGGCTAGGAAACTCAACCATCTTTGATCAACAAGCTAGTCAAGTAGAGGCATACTAGTGACATTATGTTTGTCTATGTATTCACACATGTATTATGTTTCCGGTTAATACAATTCTAGCATGAATAATAAATATTTATCATGAAATAAGGAAATAAATAAAAACTTTATTATTGCCTCTAGGGCATATTTCCTTCACTACATGCAGTATAGGAACGGAGGATACCAAGTACCTGTTATTCACTTGTGCAAAAGCTAAAGAGGTATGGTGGTTACTGGGTTTGGACTTTGCTATTGATAAAGCATGCGTTGTGGATCATGCAGGAGAAGTTGTGCTAGAATATTTATTGCTACAACCAGCTGAAGAATGTGTGGTCCTCGGTGTGGGAAATTCAAGGGGAGCAATTGTTGCTGGTTCCTGGTATTTATGGTGGGAGAGGAGAAAATTAGTGCATAATGAAAAGGTTCACGAACCTAAGTTCATAGTAATGACAACCAAACCTTTGGTTGCTAATTATACTATGGCGAGTGATGCAAAGGCGACGATCAAGCGACATGACTGGGAAAGACCAAGGAGCAACTATGTGAAGCTAAATAAGGATGAGCCTTTTGACCCTGATTTAATCAATGGCTCATATGGCGCTGTCATCAGAGACTCGAATGGTAGACTCGTCACGGTAGGAAATGGGGAAATTGAATGGTGCGAAGATGCGCTTATGGCCGAGGCACTGGCCTTATGGTTTGGTCTCAATTTGGCAACTACAGTTGGGTGTAACCGCAGAGAGGTGAGCTCCGACAACAACGAGGTAATAGAGACATTGAAGAATGAAGGTCGCTCTTTCGATCCATCGGTGACAGTTTTTGATGATATATGTCACCTTGCGTGTGATTTCCCGCATATTATTTTTATTTTTGAGCATGCTTCTAGAGAGACTAATTGTGCTACCCATGATTCAGTGAAACTAGTTAGGAATAAGGTGTGCGCGGGGTGCATGGAAGATCCACCCTTAGAGATTAGTGATACTCTTGTAAAAGATAATATGATGATCGCCTTGCAATAAAGAGTACTTTGATGTAAAAAAAAGACCAACCCTAAGTAACGTACCGTCTCGTTTAGGGTTTGGCTATACTTCGCCGGCGATCCAAATTTTCGCTAAGAGTTTTTTAACTAGAAGCAATTGCTGGTGTTTCATTCATTTAGCAGGAGAGAGCGATAAAGGTGTTTGTTTGATCAAGCGATCGGTGAGGGGAGAGATAAAAAAACGAAGAGGAAAGCAAGGCTAGATGCATGCCAATTCTTCACGGTACATGCCCGAAGGGGTGCTCTATGCATGCTGCTTCCGCGATCCTCCATTGCTCTGTGTCACTGCGGCATATGCCCGGATGATGCTCTCCTTTTTTTTAGATGAAAGGATCGAATCGAGCCCGAGTAGGGCTCGATCTTCACCCGGCTTTGAATTAACAAAGCCATCAACCGGCCAGGATTACAAGCGCACACCATTACAGCCGAAGATAAAAAGGAAAATGGGATGCAACCCCAGGCAGCAGATACAAGGCACCGATGAGGCTAAAATCTACGACCAGAGGAAAAAAAGAGTACAACTTGGACCTAACCAGAGCTAGACGGGGTTGCGCCAAGGAAGGAGCTCGCCATCAACACGCCGAAGGCAAAGCGGAGCTGCTCTCGCCAGAGCCAGCAAGGAAACAGGGCAACCACTCGAGCACACCCGAAGCCACAAATTGCAACTCGCACAAGAGGAGCAGGCCGCAGACAGTAGCCATAGGAACAGAGCACTGCAAGAATACACGGCAAGCAATGGGCAACGACGCCACCAGGAGGGCCGAGCCACACCAAGACCAGCAACACTTCTCCAAAACGCGACCAGATCGCCATAGAGGGGACCACTATCCCCTCTCGCCCAGGCCGAGGACGTCGATCCACCGGAGAACCGGACCACGCAGAGGAGGAAATGAAGCAGCTTGAGGAGGACATCGATCCTCCATGGCGGGGAGTCACCGCTGGACAAAGAATCCGCCGCTAACTAGGACACCAAAGGCTTGTCGCAGGCCACCCTCCATCCCACAACCCAAAACGACGCCTTCAAGAAGGAGGTGTAGGAGCACCGTCGCCGCCAAACCAAGGTTGTGGATTTTCACCCGGGAGAGGGGAGGGAGGAGGGGAGGGAGATGGACCTCAACGTCGCCTTCGGGAAGGGGAGCGGAGCCCGGAGCGCCGCCGACGATGTGGCCGCCGCCGCCGGCCAAGAGGTTACCCCGATCCAGGGCTCCCCACCCCACCACCACGACGTCGTCCAACGGATCCGGCAAGACATGGCGTAGGAGAGGCCGCAGCAGGAGCCAAAGGAGGCGTCTTCAGATCTGGAGAGGCCGGACATGGGGACCCGACCACCAGCCGCTCAGATCCACCGCCGGCCCGCCGCCCACACGGCCAGGCATAGGCGGCCCACCGCGCCAAGGGACGCCGCCCGCCGCCGGGGAGCGCCGCCCGCACCTCCAGGAGCCGCCGCCCCGAGCCCTAGCCCCCTGCGCAGCGGCAGAGAACCCCGCCGCCGCCCTCATCAGCGGCCGCGCGGGGAGCCCGGCGACCGCCTCCGGCGACGGCGAGGAGGGGAGGTCCGAGAAGGGGGGGTGGCGGCGGCCGGGGAAGGGAACCCTCGAGTCGCCCTCGGGAGGGCGACCCGAGGGGAAGGGGAGACAGTCGTGCGGATCGATAGTCGTGCGGATCGATGATGCTCTCCTTGCTCGGTAGTTTTCCTCTCAACACATAAGCGTTCCTCTTCATCCAAATCCGCCAACTGATGAGTGCGTAGTTGTTGATCCAGCGCTCCAGGTAGCGGGGTGTAGGGCGGAGCAGCCGGTCCAGGACGCCGTCGTGCTCCAACCTGCGCCACCAAATCTCCGCTAAGAGTGATTGGGAGAAAGTACCGTAGGATTGATTCATCAGTTCGAGGAGACTCGTCAGACACCCTGACCGCGGAACACTAGACATGGCGGGGTACATACCAGTGACTCATTTATCAACTGAACAAAAGCAGCTGATTTACAACTCTAGTGATTCCCACTAAAGCAGCTTGGAATCTTCTATTCCACTAACACGAGTATCAGAAAGCACGCAAATTGCAGTGAAAAGAGAAGCACCAGCATGGAAGCTGTGGTTCCCTACAGGAATCGAAGCAGCACATTTCTTTCTCTTGTACTCCCTCTGTAAACAAATATAAGAGTGTTTAGGTCAATACTTTAGTGATTTAAATGCTCTTATATTTCGTTACGGAGGGAGTACTTCAGTGGGAACTACTACCCCTGTATCAAAATAAAAGACATTTTTGTAGGCAAGCCCACAAAAACATCTTATATTTTGATGCGGAGGGAGTAAACAGCACTGCTAGTTGTTAAAGAAAAGAAAAACAGCACTGCTAAACGTGCCACTCGGGCTACAAAGGTATTATACTAATATAAGTAGGCAGCACAATTCACAGGCCAACCAGAGGTCAGAGACCTCCACTTAAATACTATCCCTTCTTGACAAAATACGCAACCTACTTCTGTCTCTTAGCCTAAATGAAGTTACGAGGAGCATCCTTGCCATTCTTTAGCTTTGGTTCCACCACTCTGGAGTTCCGAAGGCGGATATCAATGGTGGAGTTGTTCTGGACGTCATGCTTCTCAAGCGTATCTCCAGAAGACAGAATGTGGCCCCTGTAGCAGAGATAGTACATGCCTTCCTTCATCGTCAGCCTGTATCCAATCTTCTTCATGACTTCCTCTGTTGTGTTGGACAGTGGCAGAGACATTGTTAAGCTCTTCCCCTCCCATGTCTTGAGGAAGACCTGGACTTTCTGCTGCAACACGAGAATGTCATTGTTTTTGACACTCTGATCCTGCAGGGTTTGACATTCTGCAAGTACCACCTCAACACCGGATTGAGTTCGCATGAGTACATGTGTTGATGCTGGTAAACCCTCCGATGTCTCAATCATCAACTTGACATCAGCAACAGTATACCAGCATTTCACATTTACACTAACAGTTCTTTCACCTCTAACATTGACAAAAATGCGCAGCTTGTCAACCGGGCTAACCAAAACATGAAGTGGCTGCTCATTCCTCAAGTCGCACTGACTTAACAGCTGATTGTCCTCAAGCTGTCGACCTGCATACATCAGGATTTGGTTGTTCATTAGAATTCCCACTTTTTGTTCAATCTCTGCTTTGACATCAGCCACCTTTTTGGATTTCCTGACATTGAGATTGATGGTCTTCCCAACCGAGGGAATCTTGACAGTAATTTGCATCCCGTCTGTGACGAAAAGGTCGACAGAAGAGTTTGCCATGATGTTGTAATCAGCAAGCTTGTCATCATTCTTCAAGTGAATCCCAGAAAAGAATAGCTCTTGCGAGCATTTGTCAATCCCCTCAATGGCACTAACTTTAGATTTAATATGATCAACTGTATCGGTGCAGCTCACATCAATGGCAACTGTTTTCAGCTTCTTCACATGGATCTGGACATACAATAGTGAAGATAATAAGTATTCACAAAGTTTTTAAAATATAACAACCTATCTTCTTGTTAGAAATGCATCTGTGCACAACAAAAGGAAATAATCATAGCAAAACAAACTAGTGCGTGCAGAAAAAAAAAGACACAAGCAATTGACACCACATGTAAACCTCAATCAGCGCTGTATGTATGGTTTTCAAGCACTGATCATCTGAACTTTGTTTTCTGCTTTCCTTCTCATCGTGCCACTCGGTTATTATTTAAGCAACTCTTAATCCAGGATGCCTAAGGTAAGCATTGCTGCACATACTGTTTGAAAATGAGCGACAACACTTAAAGAGTTCCACAAACTGAGTGAAGTAGACATGTGTCTATGGGGCCATCAAATTCTGGAGAATTTATTTATTAAACTAGAGTACCGGTTACCGAAAGAAACCAACATTAGGTATTAGACAAATTCTAACAACTTAGTTTTCACTACTCACTACAAACACTGCAATATAACAGTCTGATATATTGCCATTTGTAGCATCATAAGACGATGTGCATATGAAGCACAATTTCTCCTGATCCCGCAGAAATGGAGCCCAGATGGTTGGAATTTATAATATCAAAATAAATACACATAGGGGCATTTCACATGATATACTTCCTCTTCTCTTTCCTAGTACTTGATTTTCTTCTCCCCTTGTGTTCCAAATATCCTACTGGGGTTGATTCCTTCGAGGAGAAGGAACCCAGCTTTGCCAACAAAAAACGTGCAAATCCTCACAAGAACAATTCACATAGAAATCACAGCACACACGCCCCCAATCCAGATCGACTCCAGCACCAGTCTATTCTCGCAAGATGTGCCTCCAAAGCGACCAACTACTACTTCACAGGAAGCATTGGCTTAGAGGCTAGGGCTACGAACACAGAAAAACATCCTCTTGGAACCGATCGGATCAGAAAATCACTACCCCGTGAGACCAGTGATCGCGCCATCGTGTCCCCCCACCACAAAACCACAAAAGGGGCCGGCGTTCCGCGATTCACATTCTACCAAGAATCACAGACACATTCACAAGCAGATCAACCTAGGGCATGCCTCTAAAGAGAGTGTTGCGGGGATACGAGCGCAAACCTTGTAGGTTTCCGCCGGCTGCTCCTGGTGGGGGTCCATGGTGGCCCGCCGCTTCATCTCTCAGCTCCGGCGCCCGATTGATGGTGCTGAAGGAGTGGAATCGGCTCGTCGTCTCGGCCGCTCCCCCACTTCGCCGTCTTCTCGCTCCCACTAAACGCGTAAATGATGGAAGGGTTTCACTGCCAGCAAGGGGCCCATTCACCTAAAATAAATGATGGAAGGGTACTCTGGAAGATCATTTCCAACAGCTCCTGTAAAAAAATACTACGTATATGTGGTTTTCTCAGTTTCCATAAAAAGTTCCCCTGAGGGCTTGTTCGGTTGCATGAGTTTTGAAGAGGATTGAAATGGATTGGGGAGGATTCATTCCCCAATAAGCTAAAATCCACGTTAATCCCGTCCAAACCTCCCCAATCCTCTCCAGGAGTGGTTTAACCGAACATAGCCTAAAGCGGTTGAATTTCAGTGGACGGCGGTGGTCGGCAACGGCGGGTGGGCGGGTGGGTGGAGCGGCGATGATTGCGGGTGGTGGGCGGCGACGGTGCCGACGGGGCGCAGCATACTCCAATGACGATTAGCTGACTTGACACTTTTACGGAAAGAGCCATCTTCGCAAAGATGGAGTGGAAGTTTTGAAGAATTCACAGGAACCTATAAAAAATTGTGTGTTTAAAGGAACTGTTGGAAAAAATAGTTGAACTTCTCCTAAATGGTGGTTATTTTGCGGAGACGGGACTGTTGGAGATGCTCTAGTGGCATCTACAATGTTGTGCCGCAAAACTCCCGCGAAAGTTTGAACTGTGTTGTCCAAACCAATTTTGCCATCCAACATGGTGCCAGAAACGTCCACGGACGCGTCTGCGCGTCTGAATCCCCGCAAAATGACACCAAACCCGGGAGATATTTAACTCATGCCAGGTACGCGTCCGCTCACTCGGCCCCAACCAAAGTCATCGTCATGAGTCTCGCTCTAGAACCGTCCCCGCGCATTCATGTTGGTCCACCGCACCATAGCGGGCGCGACTCAACGGTCTTGATGCCAGTCGGTGTGACCGCACGAGGCAGTGGTGTCGTTGCGGACGCGGTGCCCGAGAAGCCTACTCCAGTCGCGGTGACTCACTGAAGCGGTGTCGGTCTGCATGCCCCGACTATTTAAACAGGGCGTCGACGTCAGCCAAAACGCATCTCATCTCATCTCTGCACCCTGCCACCTCACTCATATCCTTTCGTTCACCACTTTCGCCACTCCTCTCCTCTCTGCTAAGATGGAAAAGTCCGGCCAGAGCGTCAGGTTTTCAATGCCAGTGGGTGGATCCCGATCTCCATGTGGAGCATGGCGTGGCCGCCCATGTTCTCCGGTACCTTCACCTCCACCACCCCGACGTACAAGGAGGAGCAGCCGCAGCAGCCACTCGTCACGAAGGCACCGCGATGGACGAGGAGTACCAAGCGCACCTGAAGCTCCTCTTGGAACAGTCTTTTTGTGTCCGCGGTCTGATGCCTCCCTTGCCGCATGTCCACCACATCAAGGAGGAGACATCATCGCCGCCTCGCCACCATATCATGCAGGAGCCCCCCTCACCTGGCGCAACTGCGGCATTCAAATCATACTCCCCATAAGGAGGAGTCGGCCTCACCGCTCAGCACGCTGGGCCGCTTCGACCGACCAGTGTCACTGCCATCCTGTTTTTGGAGCGGCAAGGAGAGGGCACCGCCTTCACTGCCTCGTCGGCGCCAGATAGATACGAAGCAGGAGCCTAACATGGTGCTCGCAAATGCCCGTGGGCGCCTCCTGCATTACCTTGGTCGTTACGGCATTACTACTCGTCCAAGGAGGAATGACACGAGCGGTGCAATGCGCAGCGCCGGCCAGCGTTCGCGACATCGAATGTCACGTCAGATTGGGTCCACGTGCTCACGGATGCTTGGGCCCTCGATCGAGGACCACTACGGAGACGTTCATGTGGCGCCGGCGCCGCCTCAGCGACCAGTTCATCAATATCGGCATGGCCAAGTCGCTGCACACTACTGCCCTCATCTGTGACAAGGGCAAGACAAGGGGCGGGTGCGTTGGGGCCGCTTCCGCACCTGACGTGGCCATGCGTGTGGCGGAGGAAGAAGTCGAGCGACTTCTCTGTGGGTCGTAGGCGGTGGCCAAATAGACCTGTCGTGGCTCCTACGCGCCCTTCCGCCATTGGAAGGACCATAAAAACGATGACTCCGACGATAACAGCGACGGAGTGGATGATGAGGGTGGCCCCGCCCGCTAGGGCGTGCATAAGTGCAAGGTTACTTTCTAGTAGCTCGCTTAGTTTTTCTAGTTTTCTTTAAATGACAGTTGAACTTATCTAGTTTAGTTGTAATATGTCGAACTTTGTCTGGTTTGCATGAAAATTACCTAACGCACAAACCAAGATTTTACTATTGGGGATAGATCATGGGATCGGGTTTTACCAGTAGACGCGCGATCATGATAGTGGAAGAATAGTTTGCGAGCACGTCTCCATCTCCTCCTTATGGATCCCCCGAATGGCTCCTTGTGGTTCCCTCGATCGGTTCGTTATAACGCTGCTAATCCCACACCTCAAAGGTATCCATGCGTGTAGGGAGTGTCGCATGGCATACTGCTAGGTCCGATCGCACAACTTGGACATGGAAGTGGTGGCAGCTAGGTCGCGAGACTGGTCGATCCCTTTCCCGGGCCTCGCCTCTCCACTTATATGGACATCCAAGGTGGGCTCGGCACTAAAGCCCATTAGGACTCCACAATCCATTTCCACTTGGATCCAGTCCGAATGGGCTCTTGCCCCTTAAACGTGCGACCCTATAGGTTCACGTACACATGGACATTGCCTGAATCGATAGCTAGTGGTGGCTCCTAGCTGAATGTGTCAACTCCAATGTATGTCTAAAGATGACTACTTGGCACCCTTGTAGTAGCTCGACCTCTCTTCTCGAAACTGTGATCAAGATTCCCGAATCAGGTTAGCACTAAACCCAGGTCGCATGGCCATACTTTCCGAATCTGATAACTCAAGAGGGTCCAGAGAACATCTCTTCTTATCAAAGGGGCAAATCCCGTCTTGGTCAACCATGTCTCGCGGCATGACTTATGACTCATCCAAAAGCTACATTTATAACTACCCAGTTACGAAGTAGCATTTGATAGACCCTAAATGGGTTCGTCCTCACCTCGAGAACATGCTAGGACCTCAGGTCTAGGACGTGGCATATACATAGTACTTGAGACTAACAAATGACAATATCTCATTGCGTATCAAAGTAGGTCTGTTCGACTCGATGATCTCTATCCCTGAGTCCATACTATCAGGTAAGCATTTCCATGCCCGTGACGTGTGAAAGATAGCCATCAACCAAATCGTATACTAGTCAAACAATCATCATACAATATATAGTCTCACAATCAAGTCACATATTTATTGATACATTTCACTGATGATGTTCAAGGACAATATGGACAATATGGATAACTCATGAATACATAGGGAAATATCATCATGTCATGATTGATCATATCCCCAACAGTCTCCCACTTCCACTAGAGTCAATCATTTAGGCATTGTAGTCCCATGTGACGCCCCCGATTCAATCGTACACTAATCATACACGCAAATGTGTACGATCAAGATCAGGGACTCACGGGAAGATATCACAACACAACTCTAGACACAAATAAAATAATACAAGCTTTATATTACAAGCCAAGGGCCTCGAGGGCTCGAATACAAGCTCGATACGCAAGAGTCAGCGGAAGCAACAATATCTGAGTACAAACATAAGTTAATCAAGGATGCCTTAAGAAGGCTAGCACAAACATCAACAATCGAAGAGGCAAGGCCTCCTGCCTGGGACCTCCTAACTACTCCTAGTCGTCGTTCCATGAACCGGCTCCACGTAGTAGAAGGCACCCTTTGGGTAGTAGTAGTAGTCGGCGGGGGTGGCATCTGGCTCCATGGATCCACCATCTGGTTGCATCAACTGGAAAGAAGAAAGAAGGGGGGAAAGGGGTAGCAAAGCAACCGTGAGTACTCATCCAAAGTACTCGCAAGCATCAGATCTATACTAAGTATGCACTGGTATCAAATGGAAGGTTTGTATATGTGGACTGAACTGCAGAATGCCAGAATAGAGGGGGAAAGCCTAGCCTATCGAAGACTAGCATCTTCACGCAGCTCCAAGCATCTTGCAGCATGTAGAAGAGTAAAGAATAACAGTTTATAATTAACAAGCATGTTGTAACATTAATGCCCAGAGATCCTTCCTCGACTCCCTGTGAGAAAGCAATCCCGGAGCCACATATCCATCACATATCAAGTATCCATTTCTAGTTGTATAAGATCAGGATATAAGTCTGAACATCCATTACCGAGGACACGGTATTCGAATAAAGATCTTCCCTGCAGGGGTGCACCACGTTACCCAACACGCTCGATCACTCTGGCCGGACACACCTTTCTGGGGTCAATGCCCACCCTCGGACGATCAACACGTCGCGGCCCGACCTAGGCTCAGCAGAAAGGTCCCCGCCAGTCTACATCCTAAGCACTCCGGGGTCTGGGCCCATCGCCCGTTGCACTCCGGATCGTTGTGTGCAGGGTGGATACCAGCACCACCCGTGTAGTGGATGGCACGATCCGACTGTGCCACAATGCTAAACTGGACGTCGGACAAAGCTTCGGCTGATACCACGACGTCGAGGCCCATAACTATTCTCGCGTGGTGGTTAGTGCGTAAAGGCCAAAGGCCAACTCAGAACAAATACCCAAACCTGTTAGTGCATTATTAAAAGGAGTGACGGCTGTCGGGACAAGTCCGGAGCTATCACCCCCTCCCGGGTGATACCGCTAAACAGCCAGCCGCCACTGTCACATCGCACGGGTGCTCTCCGGGCCCGCCAGGCCTTCTCAACGGTCTCCAGTAAAATCAAGGTAACTGTGTGTCCAGACATTAAGGGGGAAAACCCGAGGAATCACCCCCGGTGGATTCCACTCAATGTAATCATCAAGGTGAACATAAGAGGGACCACCCTCGAGGTT